GAGAGAGAGAGAGAGAGAGATTCTCCTATTAATCAGGCAAAAAATGTTGTACAAAGGAAAATAGCTAAAAATGTTCCTTCAGCTTTCTCCTCAGTTCTCCCTGCCCCCACTTTGGAGGTCATCAGTTGCTAGATAGTTAAGAAATATTTGCTAGGAAAACACATGGGGGATTTTCCCTAGACACTCTTATCACGGATATTTATTTGGCAATTTGTCAATATTCCTTTTCTTTTGTAGAGTAGAATGCTTGAAGAGTTGAACGCTGCAGGAGCCTCATATTTGAGAGATGGTCTAACACCAATGGGAAACAAGGCTCCCAATCCTAACTTAAATCAAAGCTCAGCCTCAAAATGTGTTCTGTGAGAACAAGGCTCAGGGAGAGCATGGAAACATAGCTCTAATTCCCCAAATCCCTCCCTCCTTAGTACAATCATTGGGTCTTGATTCTGAGGTGGGAAAAAGATTTCTGATAACATTTGAGCATGCAGGATCTTCGTCTTCTGTCACTGGTTAAGCGTGACCAACCTCTGAACAAATCGACAATGCTTTTTTTTTATTAGACCAAGGGTGGACTAACTGTGGCCCTTCACATGTTTGTACACTACATCTCACAGCAGCCCTGGCTAATTTGGCCAACGGTCAAGGATTATGGGAGCTGCCGGGAAGAAGAGTCACCATTGCAAACCCCTGGACTACATACATTTGTACCCAAAAGTCTTTTCAAAACTATCCTCTAAGTAGAGTTGCCTTTAATCTGGCATCAGCCACCAGCTCACCATACAAATTGCCATCGAAAGAGAAGGAAGAGGCCCCATAAAACCACTAAATCCAAATTAATATTACCTATCTATACCATTCATTGTGACCACAGAACTGTATTTGTTGCTGCCAGTTTTCTGGAAATAGAAAGGTTATCTATTTTATTACCTGGTTGTATCTTGATGACCCTACGATATTATGGTCTCCAAAGGGCTTCCTACCCTACCTTTTCCTAACCAGACCTTGGCAAAAAAAGGCAATTCTAGATCTCTGCTGTCTCGGGACCAAGATCTCCCATTCACTACAGATTTAATCTAATCCTCTCCATTGAAACTTCTTTTCATGTAGAATCTTGCTGACTCATGACTTCACTTTCAAAAGTGCTGAGCCAGGATTTCGAAATCAAAGACTCATGATGATTTATCTCTCTAGTTCAGCTACTAAGAGGAACCTGCTCAGACCAATTTTACTTTTTTGATAACTAGGCTCAAGAAACTGCCTGGGATGAATAACTGAGGTTAACCACTATCGCTATTTCCTGAATGTGAATGATTAAGGTTTTCAAAAAAACATAGAAACCATGAGCCTCTTCCCATGTTTGACTGTGATGGACTGACTGGAAGGGACACAAAACCCAAATGTTTCTTATAAGAGGCAACAGAGGTGGGAAACAGACCTACTTAACAAGTGGGTCATTTCTTTTTCCTGGTTTTATTGCCATCATATCGCTTTACTTAGCACATGTGGACAATATTTTTATTCTGAATTCTTGTTTATGGCAGCTGCGGCTAGCACTGCCGTCTTCCTTCCTGGTGACCTCCACTATTCTACCTGCAGGTATTTGCATACAGCTGTTATAACAAAAGCACAAATGTCTCTCCACACAAAGGAATGCTACCTTGCAAACTTGTGGGCAGCCACAAGAATGGGTGTGGAGGGACTGCGGCTGTTACTCACCATGTCACAGGTTTGTTTCCAGCAATGGGAATGATCCACTTGCTCAATGCCTAGGAGCCCCTGTACCAGCAGCAACTCCGCATCACTGCCAAGCTTAAATTCATCACGCTGGAGGAAACACAGATAAAGAGACACGGTGAGAAACGACAGGTGCTTGGCAAAGACTTATGCTTAGCTTAGCAGATACACTGCCATGAATTCTGCCCCCTCAGACACTGTTACCCCCTCTTGATAATTCTTTTAAGGTGGCATTCTGGTCCTCTAAAGCTAGCCAAACCTACCCAAGGTGGAGTGTTGCATTTTCTCTTAAGAGAGACTATATTCCCCTCCCCAAAATATGTTTGTCTTTGTTTTCACACACGATGGACCAAGAGCGACACACTAAAAAAAAAAAGCCAATTCCCAGTGGCCAGTCTCTGTCAGAGATAAGGATTTAATAAACAGGGGAGGTGTGTGAACACAGGTATTGTGCAGAAACACTGAAAAGTGCAGTACAGTTATGGGTGCAGAATCTGGCTGTCACAGCTCTTGCTAAACAAGCAACAAACCCGAACAACTCGTTTCTAGTCCCGAGAACAGGAAGTTATGTTTTAAACAGCTTGCCGAAATTTCCCTTGGCCGAAAGGACTGGTGATTAATTTGTCAGCGTCCAAAAAGCATAGCTTTTTGGCTTCCTTATGATTAACAAAACCAGAATTGTTCCACACTTTAAAAAAATTTAAATGCAAGTTTATTCAGTCAGCACCATTTATATTAGTGCTGGATAGCTCAGTGATTTAAATTGGGGGTTTGATTCCCCACAGTCCCTCCTTGATGAGGGTTGAACTGGATGACCCGCAGTGTCCATTCCAGGTCTGCAGTTCTACGATGATGAGTATTATTATAATAAAATTTAACTTTCTGAGTGCTAAATTCAGAGCTCTGCAGTTCTACGATGATTATTATTATATTATAATAAAATCTAACTTTCTGAGTGCTAAATTCAGGTATCCTGGATGCTGACTTCTATGGTTTTTAGAACTATGTGGACAAATCCTCACAGAACTTGAAAATGTTTTTTGACTATAGTTCCCCAGGTCCTCTACCAAGCAGAGTGTAGGATTCTGTGAGTTGTAGTCCAAAATGTAACTTTCCCAAGTTCTGGGTCCTTGTTTACATTTCTTTCTCCTTTTCTATAAGACAGAAAAATCTGTTCTGCCTTTCTCCATCAAGCTGCAGAGTTCAGACGAAACCATTTTTCTCTGAGGTGTGGTGTTCTTTCCTGTTTGGATCGGAAGTGTAGGAAATACACTCCATTTCAATTTGACAGATCTAGTCAAGCTGGACTTTAAGATGGAGCCACAAAGAAGGCAAAACCTTTGCCAATTCATTTGTGAACAATTTTGCTCCTTTTGTCACTCAGTGGTGACCTTTCCAGGTTGGCAGAAACTCCTGAATGCTGGGAAATGTGAAACCAATGTATTTATACAGATTAAGTGTCCCCCCCCCCAAAAAAAAACCCAGCAGCAAGAAAGCTCAGCTCAGCATGGGTTCAAGATTCCTTGGAGTGGCAAATGGTAATTTATAGGAAGTAGCTGAAAGAGGAGTCCCACGGCAGAATGACTTGCCAACTATTTTGTTTATCCAAGAACTCCGCCTGACGGGAATACATTATTTCAACACGTTGCCAAGGTTTGTGATCCAGAGTGAAACGATAGTATTTTCCAAGATCTAATAGCATGCCCAATTCTTAGGAAATGTCAATTCAGGACAATACAGTAGATGAAGTTTTCCAAGGACTAGCATCCAGCCTTACTCCAACTGTCATCCTAACATAGTACCAATCATCCTTGGATCTTTGTCCTGTGACAGGCTTGGAAGGTTACAACTGAGACTAGGGAAAGCAGAGGCAGCTGCATTGACCAATTAAAAAACAAAGCCCAAAATCTAAAACAGGATGCTTGTCTTCATTGGACAAATCTTTGGTAAGAAGGTGCAGGCCTTCAGGGTTGCTGCCCATTTGCGGCATTAAAAAAGAGAGAGAAGAATGAGGAAGTGGGATGTGGAAAGGAAAGAGACAAAAGGTGGCAGGAGGCAGGAACTAAAACAGAGCACATCTCAAAGCCTTTTTCTCCACCTTTTGTGATGGAGGGAGAAAACACATAGCACAGATATTCAAATACAGCTTTCTCTAGTGATCCACTGATGAACTGTAGTGGGCACTAGCCACTCTCCTAGATGATCTGTCTCCCCCCCCCCACAACAAAGATGTGGGGGGGGGAACAGATTCCCCTGTTGTGACAAAAATAGTCTAACTGTAAATGTTGGCCTTTCTGTCCTGTTTGAAGTTCAGGACTCCTCGTTAGGTGAAAATTCACTGGACAGACTCTACTTTAACTAGTACACTAGCTAGAGAAACAGTCAATAGGTCAAACTAGCCTACAGTTGAGACAAGTCTCAGCTCCTGGCAGCCTATGGTTCTCACCTTCAGCTCCACTGCTCAGTAGTTACATTTGTTATCCTTCAGAATGAAGAGGTGGCCTTATTGACCAAAGAGCAAAGGCCAAAATCCCAATCCCATTTTAATATCTTGACTACAACATATGACAGTAGAGTGGACTATACTGAAACGTCTAGAAGTTGACCATGCTGGTTTAGGCTACAAGATCCCAGGGATCAGAGTCCAAAAAAAATTAGATTTTTCCAAGGTCTGCCATAAATACTGCTTCTTTGGAAGTCAGTGGCACTGTCCCCAATTGGTATTTCTCTTCATCACATGGGGTTCTAGCTGGCTCAATAGCTCAGTGGTTTAGGTATCTGGCTGTGGAGGTGGAGACTGGCAGTTCAATTCCCCATTGTGCCTCCTGCCAGTAGAGCCAGCCTATGTGACCTTGGGCAAGCTGCACAGTATCAGGATGACACCATGAGAAGGGAATGGTAAACCATTTCTATGTACTCTCTATCTGGAAAACCCTGAAAAGGGTTGCCATAAGTCCGACTTGACTTGATGGGACATGATGACGATGACAATGACATGGGATTTTTGAAGTTGATCTCGACATTGCTCAACCAGTTGCTTTTATAACCCAAAGTATCACTGAATTTTCCACTTGTATCATATGGTAACTACTATTTGCAAAGGGTAGCTGCACTAGTTTATCGCTTAAAGAGAAATGAGGGTCTCTTCATCTGGGATACTCTCATAGTTCATAACAGTTTTAATTAATTAATCAGTTTTGTACTGATGACCCACACTTTTTGTAGTACCATTAAAACATATTTAATGCAGTATTCAAGGATTTCTTACACCATCCAATTGGTATGTTATCTGGCGAAGTCAATTTTAGCCCAGAAAAAGAAAGCTGGTGTTATAACTTTGTCCTTAAGATGTTATAAGAATCCCAATTGTTCTTTTAACCTTCAGAAGAATCTGCATGAGGTCCTCTGGAGACATGGGAGTAAAGAGCCACTGATCTACTTCATGACATGTTACTTTTCAACTAATTTAGTTGACACTGTGAAGTGCTACACTGATTTCTGGGATCAAGAGAGGTTTGGATGGCAAACCTCTCTTTTGTAGAGAACTGTATTACTACTACAGTCAGATGGGTGGGTGGGGGAGACATCAGAGCATCCCGACTAGGGCTTGGAGAAGATATACCCAAAATTTGCTCAGGCAACTGGCTGACAGACTGTGGGAGTGGATTGTGGGTATTGTCATTTCCAAGCCTAGATGGCGTTTGACTCTATGCCAGCTAGGACTGATAAGGGTTAGAGTCCAAAGAGATATTTTATTGAATGATTTTAATTAAAAAAATAATTTAATTATGGGGTGCTAAATTCAACATCTGCTCTACCTGGAATAGACACAGAGATTGAAATATTTTTGATCCAATACTCTCACCATCCTCCAATGGGTTTCTGAGCATCATAATAAAAAGCAGATTTTCCAGGGTCTGAACAAAACTATTGGTGTCAGTGGGACTTAAATTAGCTGTGTAGCCCATAAGTCCCATTCATTACAACAGAGCTAATGTTCAATATGGTTTATTCCATCACAGTTTACTTTGAATTGTGAGCAGGATATGACAGATGCAGTTAAAATGTAACAGCAAGATGGAAGTGCTATGCGTGCCTGTTCCTCTTTTATCCATTTTTTTTAAAAGCTTATGTTGAAAATATTGGATAACCTAGCTTGTACCAACTATTCAATTCAGGTTTTTCCAGACAGCCACAACACACCATTTTTCCTGTAGGCACCCTATCCTATGCATGTTCAATTTGGAAGCACTACATAGAAGTGTGCTTCTATGAGTCAGATCACCTTTTAAGGTTAAAACATATTCCCTTCTTTTGCAGTAGTTATCCCTTTAGGTACACTAGTCTTTCAGGGCTGTGTTTCTGAGACATTAGCAAACAAAGCCATGCTGTTTCCCAGTTGACCAATGACAAAACAGAAGCAAGCTAGTTTTCAAAGTTCAAGTTGAGGCCAGCTTGCATTAGAATAAATGAGTGGTGCCAGAACTTTAGCATTCCAGATGTCTTGGACTACAATTACCATCCTGAATGCCGGCCACAGAGACTGGCGAAATGTCAGGAAGAACAACCTTCAGAACATGGCCAAAGAGCCCGAAAAACCCATAACAACCATCAGATCCCGGCCGTGAAAGCCTTCAAGAATACATCTACCCTTTTCCTTGCAACTTACCACAAGCTCCTTCATTTCTGAGACTTCATTCCTTATCTTGGTGACAAATTCCTGGTTTTTCCGGATAAATTGCTGGAATCCTGGGTCCCCAGAAAACTCAGGCAGGGGTGCAGCTGAGCACAGCAACAACCACAGTGCAATACTTATAATAAAAAGAAGACCACCTGGGAGAAGAGAAGAAGGAATGTTGAACACATTAAAAATCAAATTGAGAAAAAATAATCCTGCCAACAGCAGCTCATGATTGGAAATATCCATTTATCACTAGTTAATATGAGATGCAATCCATGGGGAAGTTCTTCTCTTTGCTGAATGTTCATTCTGGTTCTGCGTCTCAAGGAAAGTCCTCAGAAGTCAATATAAAAAACATTTTAAATGGTGAAAAATATACAGTACGTGAAACATATATGATTTCTTGTCTCATGTACTATAAGAATACTGTCCTTTAATTAAATTAAACCAATATTTCCCAAATGACTCAGACTACAACTACTATCCTCTTCTGACTGACTAGGGATGATGGACGTTGCAGTCCATCTAAAGAAGACTACAATGGTAAAGGATAATTTCAAAGAGCCTCCTATCTTGTGAGCAGGGACTACAACTTTAGGAAACACTAATGTAGTTTGATAGCTGAGCCACATTGTCCACACCAGTGGTTCCCAAGTGTTCTTGGACTGCAATTCCGCAAAGCCTTCACCATGGTTCTGACTGGGGTTCCTGGGAGTTGCAGTCCAAAAACATCTGGGTTACCTAAGATTGGGAATATATAGGAACGGCTTTGTAATTTTCATTCTCACCTGTCGTGTACTTTAAGAATAGCATGTGCTTCCACTGATAACGTAGACCAGTGTTTCTCTCCTTCAGTATATATATATATTGGAGAGAAAGGTCAACCAGAGAGAACCAAGATGCAACCTTATTTAGGTTTTTCTGGGAATACACCCAGATGGGATCTCATCATCAATTAGAAAAGCATAAGATTATGCTGCACACATGATGGGACCCCTTAGCCTTGACACACATGACATTTTCATCTATGTCTGTAACATGTGGCAGGATGTTCCAGAGGTTAATTCATTCTATTTTTCTGTTTTGCTTTAAGGATTGTCTTTCCAACAGCAATGGGGATGTCGTGAAAGGAGGAGTGACAAGTCCCTGGGAGCAAACAAATACTATATTTTTAAAAAGGAGACTTTGGGGGAATAGCTTTGCCTCTATACCTACCTGAGTCCACATGAAATAACTAAAAATTGGGAATGAAAAACAGAGTTTCCCCTTCCCACCCACCCACCTCATAACCCAGAGACTAGCACATTGCTTTGGGGGAAAAACATCTAGGCAAACGAACAAGACTAAGATTATTATCTTTAAAACCAGCTTGGACAACTGTTATCTCTAGCCCGCCTTCCTTTTCCATAATAAAAGCCGCCTCTTTTCTCAGTTCCACAGAATGTAGGCTGGGAAAAAGAAAATTCCATTTAAATTTAATAAAACTTTCTGACTGCTGCCACCCCAATTTTTCTGAAACGGACTTTCACCTCGCAGTAAAGAAAAGCACCTCCGTTCTCTTCATAACTATAATCTATTTAAAAAAAATCCAGGTGTACGTTTGTCCCACAGCAGGCTGAGAAAATCGCCTTGCTAAAAAAGAAGCCCGCAGGTAACTCTTACCGGCTCTCTCTCGGGTCGTCCAGCTTGACTAGAAGGGAAGTGGCTGAAGTTGTACTTACTTTGTGCCGAGTTCATTCTTCTGAGCGCGTTTGGGATCTCTCTGAGCTCCGGATCTCCTCCCACTTTTTTCCCCCTCTTCTTGATTTAACTGGCTGATGACACTTTGCCTCCTGAGCAGCTGCTGAGAATACAAGTCAGAAGGCGGGCAGGGGAGAGCGAGTGAGCGAGCGGCTGGGCTGCTTCGTGTCCAAAGGCGACTCTGAAAGGTTCCGAGCACCCTAAGGGAGAATTTATAGGGAGCTTCAGGAAATTCCACCGATGGTGAAAGGTGTGGCCGTCACAACTAATTGAGAAAGGGGGGGGGGATTTAAATTATGGGAAGAAGAGTTTAATACGTTGTGCTTTTCAAGCGTTTTCCTTTAGGTTGAATGCAGATTCAGTTGCATTTAGAGTAGACCCACTGAAATAAAGTGTAAAACATTATGTTTTTCCCCATTACGTTTTTAAACAATGTGCCCCTTTTAAACAGCCGCATGAGTTTCTTATTTAAAAAACCGTGGGTATAGTGAACTAGCCTTTCTTTACAGTATACTAAATTGGCTGAATCAGTGATTTTCATTATTTGGGTCAGTAGTTCAAATATAATACCTACATGGTTTCAAATGTCAGTCTGATTTTTAAAACAGGTTGCCTTCCTCTTCCTCCTGCTTAGACCAATGATAATTACTGTATAGGTTTTCTTTTAAATAGATCCATTCAGACTAAAGTAAAAGAGGTTTCAGCCTCTGGAAGCAAATACGTAGTGAAACAAGTTAACAAAAAGCACAGTATTTTACAAGAAAGTTTCTGATCCTTTTTCTCAGGGATAGATACAGATGTTCAAGTTTGGTATTAGTGCAAAATGTCACATTGTCTCCAAGCAGTGTCTCAATACATGGTGGACGTTAGAGAAGGGGGGAAAAACCTCATTTTTGAGGTTTGTGCCAGTTCCTCAGTATAGCATCACAGGTCCATGCATTCCCTTCCCCCGCTCCTATGGCCAGCTCCTCCACTCACCAGCCTGTGCACATTGCTCTTGCCCTCCTCTTTGCACAATTGTCCAGTTGCAGCAGGAATGTGTGCTTCCCTCCTCCACCTCCTCTGGCAGCCGCCCACACAGACAAGGAGGCAGAGCAGGGATACCTGCAGCCTTGCCTTTGAGTGGGCAGCTGCTGGGGGAGGCAGAGGATGGAAGCATGCACTCCTGCTGCAACTGGACGAAAAGGAAGGAAAGAGCAGCACGCGCAGGCTGGTGAGTGGGAAAGTCGGCTTGCAGGGGGAAGGGAATGTGTGCACCTGTGGTGCTGCGCCAACGAACCAGCACAAACCTCTGAACCAACGTTCGTGCCCATCTCTAATGGTCATACATGATGTATTTTCCTCTGTCTTTAGGAAAAAGTAGTTTCTTTCTGTCAACCAGTAAAAAGTGTAGTATCTAAATTGATATTTTCTAATATGGTGCCTTCCAGATGGCCTCAACTAGAGATCAGCACGAACTGGGAAAACAGCGGTTTTTGATGCTTCATGGTTTGTCGTATTCATAAACCAAGAACAAAAAGGACTGGTACATCCACTGAAGCTGTCAAGCAAGGAGAGACAGTAGTTTCCAGGATTTAAAATGGGTATCAATACTTTTTACTGGTTTTATCTTTGAATATAGTATTGATACCCATTTTACATCCTGGGACTACTGTCTCTCCTTGCTTGACAGCGTTATTTATGAACCACAAATTTTCCAATGAAACAAACTGTTTTGTGGTCCATCCGATTTGGGACTTCTGGAAGCTGTAGAATGGCCCCCATGCAAGTTAGAGATGCAAAACTTACAACAAGTTTAGCAGCTGGTTAAAAGCACTTTCCTAGGGGAACCTGTTTTGGAGGGCTATAACTCAAATGTGCCAATTCCAATCTTTGCCAGATTCGGAGGGAGTGGGGTGGAAAATCATCTGAAAACTCAGTTTGGTGTCTCTAATTTCATTGGGGTCGTTCTGCCTTTCTTAGAAGTCTTGAATTACATGAACCATGAAGTGTAAAAATCACCAACACTGATAGTTTGGCATTTTGTTCTGTTCTGGGCAGATGCTCTTCCCTGAAGTGCCCCGAAATGAACCCACAAAACAGCTCGATTTGTGCTTCATGGTTAGTTTTGTGCCCCTCCCAATCCTCCATCATTATTCCTAGGTCCATATATCTTTGGATCTAGTTTTTAAGTGTGCCCCCAAATTTGATATAGCCATGGTTAAATTCATCAAATAGTATTTTGTAATGTGTTAGCTTTATTAGACCAATAGTAGTTTAAGAACAGATTTGATACCTATACTGATTTTTAAAAAATCCTTTTTTAATCATCAAGAATTGACACATTTTGTTTGTCTTGGTAACCATCCCAAAGGTGGCTCTTGGCAGGAGTGGCTCAGGACCTCATGGTTTCCATGGCAACCATGGGCCTATCTCAAAGGGTATCTGCCTCCACCCATGCTGCAGGGCACATTTTAGACCTGATTGTCTGGAGCAGAGTAGATGTTGATGATCTGGGTGTGGAGGAAGTCTTTGCAGCTCTGGTGTCCTGGGCAGACCATTATCTGGAGAGATTTAGACTCATGGGAACTCAGAGCCTTTGCAGGAAGGAGGGACAGACTAAGATAGTCCGTCCCAGAAGGCTAATGGAGCCAATGGTATCCTGATGGTTCTTGGGGAGTTTCCTATCAACTTGGCAGGTGATTCCATTGAATCTCTGGTTGATATCTGGAATGGGGAAATGGCAAACTCCATTGACAGGACTGCTCCTAAATTCTCCTCCCACAAAGTAGGGCCAGACTGGTTGCCTGGTTTATCAGGGATCTGGTGGCAATGAAATGAGTGGGATGTACACTTGAACAATGATGGCAGAAAGCTTGGAATGAATAGGACTGAACATGGGCTAAGGTCTATTGGGAGGCCTACTCCATGGCAGTGGGGTGGTGAAGAAGTCTTTCTTCTTGCCACCATTGCATCTGCACAGAATCACCCAGTGGATCTCTTTTCGTAGAGCTCGCTGAGAAGAATTTGCATGACACTTTGTAGACAAAATTACTTGGATCTGCTCTGACTTGGATGCTGTAGTTCAATGGTCCTCAATCTTGGGCCTCCAGATGTTCTTGGACTTCAACTCCCAGAAATCCTGGCCAGCAGAGGTGGTGGTGAAAGCTTCTGGGAGTTGTAGTCCAAGAACATCTGGGGGCCCAAGGTTGAGGACCACTGCGAGTTGATATAAGCCCTATAAATGTAATGACAACCCCTGTTTGGCCTGTGTTGATGGATGAATTTCAGTTTCTGCAGCCTGATGATATGGACAAAACCCTTGGAGAGGTGAAGGCTACCACATGTTTATAAACCAAGAAGCCCCGTACCCTTCCTACTGAAAAAGCCTTCCTTCAATCCCACAATACTGAATAACTACTGATTTATCTCTGTTGTTCCATTCTTGCCAAGGTATTGGAGTGGGTCTTAGTTTCTCATTTCCAGGAGTTCCTGGATAAGATTGATTATCTAGCTCCATTTCAATCTGGCTTCAAGCCTAGCTATGGTATGGAGACTGTTCTAGTCACCTCACTAAATGACCTATGCTAGGAATTAAACAAGGGGAGTCCTTGTTGGTTCTGCTAGAGCTCTTGCCACCTTTTGATACCATTGATCATGGTATCCTTCTGGCCTGTCTCTCTGGGATGGGAGCTGGAGGCACTGTTTTCCAGTGGCTCAGGTCCTTCCTGGAGGAGGAACTCAGAAGGTGGTGCAGGGGGACTCCTGTTCGACAACCTGGTTGCTGGCCTGTGGGGTCCCTCAGGGTTCTGTTTTGTCTCCTTTGTTATTTAACATCTACATAAAACTGCTGAGAGAGATTGTCCGGAGGTTGGGGTTTGGTCTCACCAGTATGTGCATGGCACCCAATTCTATCTCTCCTTGTCATCTAAATCTGAGGAAGCTGTTTTGGCTCTAGATCAGTGTCTAGTATCAGTAATATCCTGGATGAAGGTGAATAAAGGTGTTCCTGGCCAGTCAAAAGGCAGATGAGGGAACAGGGATGCTGCATGTACTGGATGGGTTACACCCTCTCTGAAAACATAGGTGCACATTGTGGAGGTACTCGTAGAGTCTCTGAGTCTGGATGTCCAGGTTAGGGAGGTGGTCAGCAGTGCATTTGCACAATTAAAAGTAGTGCACTAGCTGTGCCCACTCCTGAAGAGGTCTGATCTGGCCACAGTGACACATGCCTTAGTTACATCCCAGCTGGATCACTGTAACACACTCTACATGGTGCTGCCTATGGAAAATGTCAGGAAATTTCAATGGGCCCAAAAAGCAGCAGGCTGATTGCTAACAGGGAATGGACACAGGGATCACACAACCTTCCCTGTTACAGCAGCTCCACTGGCTGCCAATCCGAAACAGAATCCGGGCAGAATTACATTTCTGGGCAGAATTCCAAGTGCTGGTTCTAATGTATAAAGTCCTACGTGGCTTGGGCCCAAGCTATCTAAAGGGCTGGTTCTCCCTTTATGAGCCTGCTCATGTGTTAGGGTCATCAGGAGAGGTCTTCCTCTTGGTCCCACCACCTTCACAGGTACGTCTGATCAGGACACAGGAGAGAGCTTTCTCTGTTGCTGCTCCCAGATTCTGGAACTCCCTCCCACAGGAGCTGGCCCCAACTTTACTGTCCTTCTGCAAGCAGGTGAAGACTTTTTTCTTCAGGCAAGCTTTCCCTAAGGGACTGGTTGCCAAATGGGCTTTTTAAAACAAGGCAAGCTTTCCCTGAGGGACTGGTTGCCAAATGGTTTTTTTTAAAACAAATTGTTGTTCCTTACTGAATTGAATGTGTTTTGATGTTGCTTCTGTTTTTATTTTTTTTTTAGTATTGTATTCGTTTGATCTTTTTAGTTTTGCATACTCATTGTAATTAGCTTTAAAATGCAATTTTAATTTTTGTAAGCTGCCTTGGTCCTTTTTAAGGAGAAAGGCAGCTTTAAAATATTTTAATTTAAAATACATACATACATACACACACTGCCCCTTGGTCCTTTTTAAGGAGAAAGGCAGCTTAAAAATATTTTAATTAAAAATACATACATACATACACACACCGCCCAGAGTAGTGTGTAGGCATCCTTCAGCCTCAAGAGACTATGGTAACGTGCTTTGAATAGAGGTCTTGGAACAGCGTCTAGTGTG